CTTTCTTCTCTTTTTAAACTTTCTTTGTTTTTTAATTTTTATTATTATTTTTATTATTTTCTTTTTTCTAACTTTTCTCTTTTTTCTTTCTTTTTATTACAAATATTTTACAATTTTTTCTAATAAAAATTTGTTTGAATAAAAATAACTGACAACGATATAAATTTTTGCTTTTTCTTGTAAGAATTTCGACTTTATTCATCAGTTGTTTCGTAGTTTACTATTTGTTAGTAATATTACTGTTACACACTCAGTCTAACTTTAACCCAGTGCTGATATCATTCTTATAATTAGTATTGCCCATATCATTGTTGTTAAGTTATTAATTAGTTTTTATTAAAAAAGGAAGGAACAAGGACAAAACAAATACTTTTTCATGAGGATAAAGAAATTGTAGATAAAATTGAAAATATTCTGTTAAGTTGTTTTTAGTCTTAGGATGCCGAGATAATAAAAAGAAATTATCTAATTAAGTTTGCATACAATACAAGAAATGTTATCAGTACTTCCAAAACAAAGAGAAAGGTCTTTAATAGTATTTGCTATTTTGGTTGGATGGTATTTTGAATATTGTTTAATAATGGAATAAACTTTTTCATCACTCATAACGTCCCAAACGCCATCACAGGCAAGTACTAAATATCTATCACTAGAACTCTTTTGACGAACAACAACATCAGGGATTGGTGAAATAATTGGTTGATTAGCTGAATCTCCTAGAGACCTTGAAACTGCTAAGCCACCATTTGTTCTGTTACCAATAACAAATCCACCATTTTCCCTTATTCTTTTGTACTCAGTTTTATTTGATGGTCTGTGACTCACAGTTAAAGGCAAAAAATAGTCGTCTCCAATTAATAAACAACGACAGTCACCAGTATTGGCAATATAAAAGATGTTTTCTGTAATAATAAGGCACAAACAAGTAGTTCCATCTTTAAGTCCCTTTTCTATTATCTCGGAGTTAATATGAGTAAATGCTTGAATTAATGAATCTTTAATACTGCACTGTTCGTTTGATTTTAAAATATTTTCTAAAGTCATCATAATTTTAGAAGCACATGTTTGAGCAGTCACAACACCACTGTGACCATCACAAATAGCAGCAAAATAATTACCTTTTTGAACAAAATTTTCTGAGAAACACATAAAATCTTGCATTTCATCACGATATCCCTTACACTCAGCCAATCCAAATTCAATTTGGTTATGACAGAAACTAATTTGATTACATACTAAATCATTAAATCCTGGTATTTCTTCATAACTTTGAATTGGTAAAGTCATTGTCCCATTCTCACGTTGAATAGTTAAAACGGTGATTGGACCTTCTTGCTTTTCTTTCAATAGATCTAAATTACTTACTGGATATCCTGAAATGTTAACACGGTGAGACTTAGTCTGATTTATTTTTGAAGGAAGGATTTGGAGAGGATTGTAACTGACATTAATATCTTTAAGAGTTGTATTTAATAATAATGGATCAAGTGTTACTAATTGGTTATAACTAATGTCTATTTCAATCAAACTTAAATAACGTATATAGTCTGGTATTACAGATATTGAGTTAGATGAAATCATTAATGAAGTTAATTGAGTCCCAAGATAAACAGGAAACTGAGTTAATCTATTATGACTTAACCCAAGTAATTTAAGTTTGCTTAATAAACCAATTGCTGGAGGTAAAAAGCATAAATAATTAAAGTGAAGAATTAAATGTTCCAAGTTGACTAAGGTTGAGATGTAGTCATTAGGAATGAATTGAATTTTATTGTTTGATAAGTCTAAGTATCTAAGACATGTTAATTCTTTCATTGATTTAGGCCATTCAATAATTTTATTTGAAGTCATTAATAAGGTACGAATAACGGTATTTAATGATGGAATTGTAGAAATTAAGTTTTGAGACAAATCAAGACGAGTGACTTGAAAAGGAAATAATAAAGGAAGAGAACCAATTTTATTATTTCTAATGTTTAAAGTTTGTAATGAGGTAGTAAGTTGTGGAATATTTACCAAATTATTATTTGCAAGAGAAACTTCATTAACTTCAGGGAAGTAAAGAATTGAGTTTAAGTGAACGTTTTCAATAGTCATAATGCTCATTCGAGGAAGTTCATTTAATTCAGAGATATCACCAGAAAGAATATTTAATCTGAAAAGTTTAGAATAGTTTTGTAAAGAAAGTGATTTGAGTGTTACTGCTCCTAAAGTAAGATTTTTGATAGAACTGCTTGAGTTAAGTTGCACTGATGTTAAAGGATTATAATCTACATCTAAATTGATTAATGAAGGAAATTTAGAAAAAAAGCTGGGAAGTTCTTTTAGTCTAATGTATTGAGCAGTTAATGTTTTCAATCCTTGTAATTTGGTTATAGTCATAGGGAATTTTTGTATATCATTACCACTAACATTTAATGTTACTAATGAGCTCATTTCACAAACACATTCTGGTAATTCTGTAAACTTATTATGGTCTATTTCAAACTATCAAAAGTGAATATCAAAATAATAAATATTTTCCTTTCCAATACACATCAATAAAACACAACAAACACTAGTTAAAGAGATTAAATGAGAGAGACTTTTTGGAAGAGTTGAAAGACTGTTTGTTGATAAAGAAAATATTTTCAAATTAACAAGTGAAGAAATAGAATGTGGAATTTTTGATAATTTGTTTTGTGACAAATTCAAACAAGTAAGATTAGATAAAGTAGAGATATTTAAAGGAAGTTCATAAAGAATATTTTGTGAAAGAATGAGTTTTTTTAATGAAGTGACTTTAAAAAGATGAGAAGGTAGTATAGATATTTTGTTTGAACTCATTACTAAATTAGCTAATGACTTAAACCTATCCAAAGAAGGAATTTCCTTTAAAGATTAATAAATACTTTATAGTGTAAATAACTTTAACAAACAGTGAAAACATTAAAACTTAAGTCTAATGTAGTTATTGATCCACCAAGTTTTATCACTTCAGAAGGTACTTTAGAAAGATTTTCATTAAATTTTTTGTATATTCTCAATTGTTGATGTGTCATGATTAATTAACAAATATCTAAATTCTATTTTTTTGTATTAAAAGATTCTAAATGTAATTAACCAATCTGATTAGTAAATTTATTATATTTAATTTACTTCTATTTCTCTAAAAGTGTTTATTGAAAATATCATTTCAACTTCTAATTAAATTAGATTTTTTATTAATTTTATTATTATTAAACTTATAAAAAACGAATGAACGTAGTTAAAAAGAAGATGTATTTTTTTTATTATATCTTTCTTATTTAGATTCATTCAATGCTTTCTTTAAATTGACAAATTTCTTCTTCATTTCTTCCAATCCTAATTCAATAATTTGTTTTGGTGGATAAACTCCTGTTCCTTCTACTTTAAAAACAAACTGATCTGTCTTTGGAGTGACAGTAACTAAGTTACGTTGACCAATATCCCTTGCATAAACAGTACATTCATTACAAAAAATACAATTTTCTTCTCCTCTAATAAATACCTTTTCTCCAACTTCTTGATAATCAAATACTTTTTGAGGACATTGTTCACAGAATGTACGTTTTTGTTCTGGTGTAAGTGAAATCATTTTTTCATCGTTTATTCTAATATCAGCAAGTGTTTGAAATACACACTGACATGTTGGGTTCCATTTAGCATGGAATTTCCCTGTACCTTTCTTAACATAACAAACCATATGAATATTTTGTCTAGGACCTAATTGTGTAATAACTATAGGATCAACATCATTTCTGTAGTTTACAGGAGCTACTCTTTTATCTCCAATAGAAACTAAATCATTTGAAGTAACAACTACTAGTTGGTTTGAATTATTTTCTTCTTTTAATTCTAATATTGCATCATCTGTCTATTTCGTGTTATTTCTTTTCTTTTTTTATTAATTTATAACAAACATCTTCAAAATTATGGATTTGAGTTGAGTCAATTGGAATTAATCCCAATCTATGGGCAATAAATTCATCACATAAATATGATGAATTGGCATAAACTCGTACAAGTTGAATGGCAATAGTTGGTGTTTCTGCCATAATGACTCTTCTCAAACCATTTACCATTGAAGTATCAGTCCTTTCGATATGAAATGATAGTTTTTCTTCCTTACATTCAACATTAGTGATAATTGGTTGTCTATTGTATCGTGGTTGTTCCATGAAAAAATGAATTATTAGTACTTTCTTATCTATTTTTTTAATACTTTTATAATTTATTTTTACTATTACTCTTATTTTCTCTTTTTGTTGGTAAAATTTTAAAAGAAAAACATAAAAAGCAAAAATAATTGTGTTATTTACACTGTATTATTAAAACTTACATAATTGCCTTATTCTTGAAAATCCATTTTTCTCTTTTGTAAAAGGTGTTTTAGTACTTGATGAAAATTTCTTTGAAATATCCTTTTTATTCAACCCTTCCTGGGTTTGAGAAATAATAAATTCCTCAACTTTTGATATCCCATCACCAGTCTTAGAGGAAACAGATACCATATCCAGCTTTCTCTCCAGAATCAATTCAGCTATTTCTAGATCTATTCCAGAATTGGGAAGATCACTCTTAGTGAATGCAATAAGGATTTTACAATCTGGTTTAAAAAGAAGAACTTTTGTTACAAGAGATTTAAATTTAATAGCAATATTTGGTTGTAAAATATCACAGACTATGATAACAGCTGAAGCATCTTTAACAAATGACTCATTAGTTGATTTATGTTTTTGTTCTAGAGTCAAATTATCCCAAATCTTTATCTTTACCACTTTTTTACTCATTTTGTACTCAATGGATTGCTAAGATATTAACATTAGTTGATCTTTCTATTGGAACAACATTGAATGATAAACAAACATATTCTTCTTTAAAAACTACTGGACTTCCACTGAAATTACCAGTAATGAGTCTATGGATAAGGCTTCTAACTCCACTATGTTCAAAACCAAAGAGACATACTTTGTATTCCATTGTCTATTCTTTATAAAAGATAAGTTCCTCAAACTGCTTATAACATTGAAATAAGAGAATTTTCATCGACTCATGAAGATTCATTATCTTTTATTAATTGTCCATTTACGAAATCAATAATAAATTCATTTTCGTTTTTGTCGTATCCAGAATATTTATGATTTGAATTAAAATCTCTTTTTTTAGAATGTGTTATTATATTGTTGTTTTATAAAACACAATAAAAATTTGTAGTTCTAAATAGAGATATACCGTGTCAAATATTTAAAGAAAAGATTAAAAAAACTTAAAAATACATAATTAAGAGATGAGTTTAGCAGATTTCGATGCTATTATTATTAGAAGAAAGACAAATGTAAAGAAAAAAAGAAGTAGAGCAGGAATGAATGACCTTGAAAAGGAAATGAAAGACATGGGTAATTTATCTCAGTCACTTCAACAAGTAGAAAAAACTGGTAATAATATTACTCTTCATCTTAAAATTCATTTAGCCAATAAAGATACAGTTAATTTAAATATCCAAGATACCTCTAAAGTTAGTGATGTTATTGACCAACTAAAAAGCAAATTAGGTATTACACTAAATTTATTCTATCTTTGTGAATTAAAAGAAAATACTCAAATACCAACTAAATTCTTTAATAATACAAAAACATTATTCCAAGAGAAAATTAATGATTCAAGTAATTTAGGATTTAGAATGCAATGGATTTGTCCATTTAATGCTAGTCAAAAAACATCAGGAGAAAAGAATATTGATTATATTTATCAATGTCTTAAAACTACTATGTTTGAAGAACCTTTCCCTATTGAAAGAAAAATTGCTAATGCTCTTGCTGCTGTTGCTATTCAAATGACATTTGGTAATTTTAAAGAACAAGAAGCTACATTAATTGATATTGGGCGTTTCTGTAATCCTATGGTCATAGAAAATTATGGAAAAGAAAATATGTTACGTTCTTCTATGGGAATTCATGAAAAATTAAAAAATCAAACTAACTTAAACACCCTTAAATTATCATTCATTCAAATGGCACAAAGATCACACTCTTTTGGTGCAACTATGTTTGACTCAGTTTTATCAGGAAAAAAAGTTCATATAGGTATTGTTTATGATGGAATCATAGTTTATCTTTCTGACTTAATTGAAGATATTACCTTCTATCCAATGCATGACATTAAATCTATTTACTCTACTGGAGATTCTGCTGTTGTTTATTTCAAGAATAATAAAAATCTTCAAATCAAAACTGGAAGAGCTGAAAAATTAGTTTCATTATTATCTGGTTATTTCTATCTTTGTGGTGAAACTTCTCCTGATGTAGAAAAACCTGTTTCACTTCACTTTGCTGAAGATGACAAGTTATTTGATTTCTCTAAAAAAAGAGAAGAAATTGTCTTCCTTACTAATCGTTTATCTTATTTCCATGAAAATATTCAAGTCGCTGCTGCTGATGCTTATCTCGAACAAATTGCTCCAAAACGTATTCTTGCTTCTATCCTTACTGCAATCAAACAAAATCACAATTTAACTACTATAAATTTTGCTTCAACAGATGTTTCTATCACTCAACTAACTGTTTTTGCAGAAAGTATTGATCGTACATTTAAATCTCGTGGAGGAAAAGATGTTCAAGAAACCTTCAATGCCCAAGAACTCTCTTTGGCAGATAATATGGAACTTGGTAAAACAAATGAATTTGCAAAAGCTCTTTGTTTAATTCTTAAATCTCCAATTGCATTAAAAAGAATTGATTTAAGTAATATTGGATTAACTGATGACATTGCAAAAAATATTGTTGATGGATTTAGAGCTTGTAACTCTCTTGAATATTTGAATCTGTCAAATAATTCTGAATTAAGTGGAAGTGCATTACAAACTGTTTTAAGATCAATAAATAGAAATGCCTTGTTTAGACTAGATATTAGAGGATTAGCTCTTACTAGACAAGATGCTGGTCAAGTTATTAGACTTATCTCAGACTTCCCTAATCTTCAACAATTGATTATTAAAAATAATAACATTGGTGCAGGTGGTGCTGAATTAGGTAATTTAGTTCAACGATTAAAGAAACTTCAAATACTTGATGTAAGACATTGTGGATTACCAAAAGATATTGTTCACTCAATTCTTAAAGGATTAGCTGATAGTAGAGTTTTGAAAGAATTAAGATTAAGCGGTAACGATGGAATGGGTGATGTTATTTCATATATTAGTGATATTACTGAAGAGGGCAAAATAGTTAAATTCCCACCAATTAACAGATTAGATGTTGCAGGAGTTGATTTAAGTACAAGTGATGTAAAGAGATTAATGAAAATCATTCAACGACCAGTTTGTCATTTAAATGCTATTGATGTAAGTGGAGCTAAATTAAAAGGAGATATGAGTAAAATCTTTGAAATTCTTTTGGCTTATGAAAAGACTAACTTATGTATTACACAATTCAGTGCAAATGATTGTCAAATCTCTGATTCATGTGCATCATATATGGTTAATTATCTTTCTAGTACAACTAAATTAACCAAATTTAAAGTTGGTTATAATTCTTCACTCTTCAGAAAGGGTAATTATGCTTGTATTGCTGAAATGATCCGTGGCAATAAAACATTAAAGAATTTACACATTTCTGGAATGAATTTCCCAGCTGAACAAATTGGTTCCATCTTTGATGCTATCATAAACCATCCTTCTTTAATAAAATTATCACTTGATGGTAATCCTCTTGGTTCATATATGAATAAAGTTTCTGATTTGTTGATGATGTGTCAACACTTAAGTGTGTTACGTTTAAGGAAACTTGAAGCCATCACTAAAGATGAACTTATTAACTGGCTTAACAATGAACTTCCACAAACAATGTCAGTTGATAAGATTTGTTTAGAACAAAATGGACTAAAAACGAGTGATATTAAGAAGGCAATGGATGACCATCCTACTATTCATTTCGTTCTTTAAGTGAATAACTAGGTTTCATTTATTAATTTAAACCATGTTTTATTCTTTTATTGAATGCAAAAATAACAATCAAAATTGACTGATAACAAAGCTTCTTTATGACAAATTCGTACTTTTCATTAATAATTTGTTTTTATCTTTTGATATTGTATTTGTACCTAAAAATCCTTTTTATTATTCACTCCTCATTGTTTTCAATAAATAAACTACTCTTAGGATAAAATTTATCTTCATTAAGCACTACTTTTTTCTTTAATGAAAATGATTTTCTTATTCTTAATATTACATACTCACTTCATACTT